TGGACCGTTGATCTTAAAAATACGTGGCTCGATCTAGACCGTCCATTTTCTCTTTTGATCTTACGGTGACAAGTGTCCTATGACATCATGCTTACCTCATCATGATGATATCATGCTTACATCATCAAGCCACATGTCTTTAATCCGACCGCACACGTGTCTTGCATCCGACCGTACACGTGTCTTACATCTAACCGTACACGTAATATTTTCTTTTTCCCATCTAACCATACACTTGTCACTTTCATGTCCTTTCATCATTTATGGCATTAAAATAGGGAGAAAATAAATAGAAAATTCGTGCAAAAATATTTTCTTAATTATTTCTCCACTTATCAAGCCAATCTTGCACCGTATCGGATACTTTTCGAGTCCTGACTTACCCTGTACCACCAGGACATGTTCTGACACTATTTTCTCATCTTAATAAGTACATATATGGTGCCACCTTAGAGGAGCAGAAGGAAAAATAATTAGCTCTACTGACAGGCTACTTAACCTTACTGAGTCATGCAGTAGAGATTTCACTATAACGGGTAGACAAAAGACTGTCTAAAATATTCCCATACTGCGTTCTGATTTTTATGCTGTCCATAAATATCTTCTGGTGACTCAGCATGATGACTCGTCAGTGTCATGATTACGCTTGATGACTCAGCATGCTGACTCAGTATCGTCATGATGGCTCTTAGATATTTTCTTTGGTTTTGTCTCCTATTTAGGGGACAAAATTATTTAATATTTGACTGGAACATTTCATTCAATCCAGAGCTCCAAAAATTCATCCAAAAATATCATAAAATTCCTCATATTCTAGAGAAAATCTGTGAATTTTCTCAGGTCATAACTCAACCTGTAGCCCCACTTAAAAATCATTCTTTAAAATGCCCTTTTTCGGCACAACTAGATTTTAAGTATTCTTAAAGCCATTTTGCTAGTCTTCTGGGGATGAGACTAATTTTATAATTTTCTATAGTCTCTTAGATCATACATCTCCATTTTACCATAATTTTTTGAGGCTTTCTTATGACTCAAACAATTAAATCTACCTCTACATCTTAAATTGAGCCATAAACTTATAAATTCCTTTTAAGTTACCTCAGGGGTATTTTCGTCATCTCCCTTCACAAAAGAGCCTTAGAATATTATTTCCCATTTTTTGGGATTTTCTTAGAATTTTCTAAGTACTTTTCATTTTTACCCCTGATGGCCGTAACTTTATGAATTTACGGTTTTACCCCTGCTTAGGCTCAACCTCATAAAACCATCTCTTTGAGGCTTCTAACTTAACCTTTGGTCTGTATCTAGCCTCTTTTCTCTTTCTGGGCCTTTGAGACTTTACTGGAGCCTCTAACTTTGATTACCCTTTAGCCCCTTAAAAACTTTCACTTTGCAGTTTAGTCTCTGAAACTGCTTTAACTTCCTTTCTCATCTTTAGAACCTCTACTAAAAAGGGGTTGGTAGCCTATACCATTCAGGCTATTTCTAGTACTTCTAGGCTTAAAAATTGAGATGTTACATCAACCGCCATATTTTTCTGCAGATTTCATGCAGAAAATGGTGGTGAATCCTTTAAGGTGGAAATGGGAGGACCATGAAAGAGAAATATTACCTGAATATATTGGATACAATATCGGGGATTGTGATTTCATTTTTGGTCCTACTCTATTTGAACATCATTGGTTTTGTTATGTTTTTGAGACAAAGACCATGACCTTCTACACCCTTGACTCGTTGGTTGATAGCATCACATTCATGAGATTACAAGCCGAGGAAGAAGAAGCAAAGAAGAAGGGGGGTGAGCAACAACATGATGCAAAGAAGAAGAAAAATAGGACAAATAAAAGGCAGTTCGACCCCAAACAGTTCATGGCACCACAAACTGTGAGTAGTTATTTACAGCTTTTATACTTGTCAATGACTATTATAATTGTTAGTAGCAGTCTGCATAGTTGTCATTGCATGTTCTGGTAGTTGTCACTGGATGCTGTACTAGTTGTCACCGGATGATCTGTTACTTGTCACTGGATACCATGCTAGTTGTCACTGGATACTCTGTCCCTTGTCACTATATACTATGGTAGTTGTCACTGGATGCTGTGCTAGTTGTCATTGCATGCTCTAGTAGTTGTCACTGGATGTTGTGCTCGTTGTCACTGGATGATCTGGTACTTGTCACTAGATGCCATGCTAGTTGTCACTGGATGCTCTGTCCCTTGTCACTACATGCTGTGGTAGTTATCACTGGATGCTGTGCTAGTTGTCATTGCATGCTCTGGTAGTTGTCACTGGATGTTGTGCTCGTTGTCACTGGATGATTTGTTACTTGTCACTGGATGATATATTAGTTGTTAGTTGTCACTGGATGATCTGTTACTTGTCACTAGATGATATATTAGTTGCCACTGGATGCCCTGTTAGTTGTCACCAGATGCTCTGTTAGTTGTCATTGGATGCTATGCTAGTTGTCACTGGATGCTCTGTCCCTTATCACTACATGCTGTGCTAGTTGTCACGGGATGCTCTGTTAGTTATCACTAGATCAGTGGTAGTTGTCATTACATGCTCTGGTAGTTGTCACTGGATGCTTTGTTAGTTGTCACTGGATGCTCTGTCCCTTGTCACTGGATGTTCTGTCCCTTATCACTGGATGTTCATTATGTGCGTGTGTGTGTGTGTTTTTTCCAGATGAACTGTTTTCATTTGATGCTATATACTGTTAAGCAGAATTGTTTGTCAATGAGGACAAAATTGACAATGAAGTGAAATGGGCTAAAGTCTATGTGCAGAATGATACGTAAGTGTAGTTGTTCTGTTCGATTGTGTTATGTTGTTTTTGTTCACAATAACAATTGCAAGGTGCTAACATATTCAATTTACTTGGTAGTGATTCATGTGGAGTTCATGTTATCTCTTGGCTACAAGAGTGGGATGGCACCGTTCGGGATGATGCAGGATATACAATGCCACGATACTCTAATGATGAACTACAAGAGTTGAAGGTTGGCTGTTTGTGGTGGTTGGTAACCCATCCAAATAATGAACATGGGAGTGAAGTGATGTTGATGCTATCGGACTACAACAAGACCAAGAAGAGGAGATAGAGTAGTCTATGAATTTTTTGTTCTTTTAGCCCATGATATGTGTTGTTAAGATGATTAGCAAATAGGTCATTTTGTAACAAACTGATCAGGTTATGTTTATAATATTATTACCTTTGTCATCACATATTGTAATACTAATTTATTAGGGTTTTATTACATTTTTAATTATATTTCTATTTTATATGTGCAGAGATATTATGGTTGGTTACCTTATGTTTAAATTAACAACGTCAGTTATCCAAAATAACAACTAATATAACAGGAGTTAATGACAAGTGATATGAGAATTTCATAACAAGTCACAGTGCTCCATTGACAAGTCGCAGTGCCCCTTTGACAAGTCATGGTGCCCTATTGACAAGTCATAGTGCAACCATTAACAAGTCACGGTACTCCATTGACAAGTCACAATGCTCTCTTGACAGTGACCATTGACAAGGGACAGTGTTCTCACAAACAAGTCACAGCGCTCCATTGACAAGTCACAGTGCCCCATTGACAAGTCATGGTGCCCTATTAACAAGTCATAGTGCAACCATTAACAAGTCACGGTACTCCATTGACAAGTCACAATGCTCTCTTGACAGCGACCATTGACAAGGGATAGTGTTCTCACAAACAAGTCACAGTGCTCCATTAACAAGTCACAGTGCCCCATTGACAAGTCATGGTGCCCTATTAACAAGTCATAGTGCAACCATTAACAAGTCACGGTACTCCATTGACAAGTCACAATGCTCTCTTGACAGTGACCATTGACAAGGGACAGTGTTCTCACAAACAAGTCACAGTGCTCCATTGACAAGTCACAGTGCCCCATTGACAAGTCATGGTGCCCTATTGACAAGTCATAGTGCAACCATTAACAAGTCACGGTACTCCATTGACAAGTCACAATGCTCTCCTGACAGTGACCATTGACAAGGGACAATGTTCTCACAAACAAGTCACAGTGCTCCATTGACAAGTCACAGTGCCCAATTGACAAGTCATAGTGCAACATTGACAAGGGACAGTGTTGCCATTAACAAGTCACAGTGCTGTATTGACAAGTCACAGTGCTCCATTGACAAGTCACCGGATAAACCATTGACAAGGGATAGTGTTGTCATTGAGAAGCCACGGTGCTCCATTGACATGTCATAGTGTTGTCATTGATAAGTCATAGAGCCACCACTGACAGGGGACAAGGGAGAGGTAAGTTTTTGACACTTTATTAATAATGATTATATATGACCATACAACCAAAATATAATATGACAGAGTGATTGTAAATATCATTTCAGGGTAAAAAAGGTTATGTTACTTGAATTCATGTTGTTGACAACTTACATCAGCAAATTCATTGACAAGTCGTAGTGCAATGATTGACAAGTCGTTACAGGTCTAGTGACAACTCAGGGTGCAGGTAATGACAACTAAAATGACAGTACAATGTAATATGCCAATTCATAGCCAACTTTCATTTACACCTTCATATACATGAAACTACACCTATTTCACAACCCATCCCAAAAAAAACATAGGGGTTGCATGTAATAATGAAACTAACCAGTGGTGTGTATCCATTTACAAAAAATTTCCTTCACACCCATTTACAAAATATTCTCTTCACATCCATATACAAAAAATAGTTGACTTCAATATGTTTTCAGCTGGGATTTGGGTTCTTGCATGTCTTGGCAGTGTGTCCAGGCTCTTTGCATCTTCCACAATGATAAACCTTCTTATTTTGGAATTGAGATTCTATCCTATTAATCCTTGGCCTTCTGGAGGCCTTTTGGTTATCGGTGGATGCAAGAATGTTTGGGTCAGCATATGACTCACAGTAGGTGTATTAGGCTATGGGCAATCATGTGTTGCAATTGGCCTCATGCTATTTGCATATATTTTCTCCTATGTGGACAATTTGTAACAATCATCTACATAATCATACACACTATGGTGAACTAGTTTGATTGCTGCACAAGCATGTGGACAAGGTATTCCACTCATTTGCCATGCCAAACATGTGCATCTGTGAGAAATCAGATCAACAGCAACATAGATGATGCGTCCCTCATGTATTGTCTGCACCGAAATATGGTCATCACCATAATATGTTGCCTCCATATACGCACCTCTTGTTATTTGTTCCGACAACTTTGATTCAATATTGGGTCCTATACCATTTTTCCAGCTTTTCATCCCCATTTTGCTAGCAACCATCTTCTTGGCCAACTTCTCTTGATGCTCTTGTATCAAAACCGGCAAGGCGTGCTTCCTTTCTTTCAACATCCATGCATTAAAAGACTCAACAAGATTATTGGTGATGTTATCCCATCTTTTAAAAGGAAATTTACTTTGTGCCCATCTATCCACATCCCCATGAGATTCAACCCATTGTGCCAATTGAGGACAAAACAATCTTAAATTTCCCATTGCAACATTAAACTCATTATCATGCCTTGCATATGCAATTCCATCAAGTAAATTAAGTGCATTCTCCTTGTTATTTTCTAAGGTCCGTCTCACACCTCTATTGATTTTCACATACTGCGCACTATAATTTTCTTTCACATGTCGATAGCAAAAAGCATGTCTGTCACCATCAAATACTGTCCTGACAGCACCGATAATAGTATTACTCCGATCTGAGACAATTGTCACTTGTGCTGATCTAGTTATCTCTTTCAGATTCTGTAGATACCAAGTCCATTCATCATTTGTTTCTCCGCTAACAATACCATATGCTAAAGGAAACAACTCATTGTCTGCATCAAATGCACAAGCTGATAATAAAGCCTTTAATAAATTATAGTGCTAAAGGACATATGCTAAAGGACCACTCAAATGACATCCATCTATATAAATAATTGGTCTGCAACCTTCCACAAAGCCTTTAATTGAGCATCCATATGCAATGAATAGCCTCTCAAATCGGTTGCTATCTGAGCCTTCCCATCTTGCAACTTTGTTAGGATCAGTTTCCATTAGTCTCTCACACATTCAAGGGATTACCTTATAAGAATCTTCTACTCGACCATGTAATTCCCTTAGTGCTCTCTTCCTAACCCTATATGCTTGAGTATAGTTCAATTGCACTCCATATTCTTTATACAAGTCCTTTCTAATTTCATTAGGACTCTTGTCAACATTGCACCTCAAGTCATCAATCACAATTGAAGCAGCTAAATTTGACCTTCCTGAGTGAGGTACAATTAAGTTGTCCTGTGTATGATGAATGTGTTCACTTTTGTACGTTCTGATAGTTAAAAACTCAGTATCTTGATGTGCTCCCATTGAATATGCACCCATATACCATGGACAACCATCAACCTTGCACTTCACAATCATCTTTTGTTGATTATTCTTAATGAAAAGGTATGAAAACTTCTGGCATAAGCTGTACTTGTATAATGTTTTTCGGAGAGTAGTGGCATTTGGAAATATTTGTCCTTCTCCAATAATCAAATCCTTCCATTTTGTTGAATTCATTTGTGATGTAGGTGTTGGGATCATTTCAACAGCACAAGGAATTGATTGTGGCTCTCCAATCACATCAAATAAAGTAGGTGGAGACATAGACAATTCATTGACACCTCCAAATGATTGATCAATCCTGCAGAAAATGACAAGTCAGGGTGCATGCATTGACAAGTTGGTAGTAATACAGTAACAACTGACATACTAAGAAATCACAATAACAGTTTTGTTCAACTATACTTACACATCTTGCTCCTCCATTGTATTATCCTTTGTTGCTTCTATGTGGTCCTCATTTTCATTTTCTTGACATACACATGACCACTTTCTTCATTGAACTTTATCAAATGTTCCACCCCATCATCATCTACCAACTCCACAAAAGTTTTTTTATCAAACACAACTGAGAATTTCAGAAGAAATAAGTTGCTTTCTTTTCCAGCAATTGATGATATAATTTCCTTCAATTCTTCATAACTTGTGCCCTCCTTTACATTGGTTGTTCTTACACTACCTCCCACATATCTCATATTATCTTCTCCATCATTTATAAACTTTCCCCCTATGTGAACAAAGCAAAATAGATGTTTTACTAGACGTACTCGCCATCAATAACTTAAACCTGCATCAAGAAGCACGCAACTGTCATTGACAACTTAAGCAGCTACATTGACAAGTGTCGCGGCACACATTGACAACAATTGCGGCCTGATTGACAACACAGTCCCATTTCGTGCTAAGGGTTTCTACCCTGACTAACCTTCATCTTTTTCTTCCTTTGCCACTAAACTAACATCAGAACAGAGGAAAACCACCCAAAAACAACCCAAAAACAGAGCACCCATTATCATTCTACACACCCAACTTAAATCATAACACACACCAACCAAAAACACAGCTTTTCCATTCATTAACTTCTAAATCCTAAACCAAAAACAAAAGCTTTGAAATACCAAAGGCAAAAATGATTTTTTGATTTCCCCTTCCTAAACAAATCCAGAATCTGTTAAGAAAGGTAGGAGAGGAGAGAAAAGAAAGTTTCGCACCTAAAGATTTGTGAAGATTCACACGGAAGCACTTTGGAGTTCAATAATGGTAATGGAGAAGATATTTCATCATCAATAGCCCCTTCTCTCTTTCCCAATGTCTTCTCCCTCAAGCTTATTGCGCGGGAAATCCTCACAGAAGTTCATTCTCCCGTCTTTTTTTTCTGATGGCAGGGGCAGGGCAAAACAGTAATTAGTGGATTCTGAAAATTGCATCTAAGTCCCTTTGGGACTTCAAAAAAATTATCAGATTTCAGGGGACCTATTTGATGTATTTTGTTCTCCATGGGACGTCAATGTCATTTTCCCTACTAAAAACATACAAAGTCTTGTAATAGTACTTCTCACATTGGTTTTCATAATGCGTCGAATAGCAAGTGGAAGTAATTGTTGCATCAACACGTGACAATCATGAGACTTCATCCCTGTCATCTTCAAATCTTGCATTGAAACAAGTTTGCTCAAATTAGAAGAATAACCTTGTGGCACCTTAATGCTATCAAAACCACAGAAACTTCTTTTCTCATTTTTTGATAATGTATGCGTAGCTGGATGTAAATAAGCCCTCTTACCATCTCTTTCTTGTGGGTGAAGGAGTTTTCTTATTCCAATTTTGACCAAGTCTCGTCTTGTATTGATTCCATCCTTAGTCATTCCACTTATATGTAAAAGTGTACTAACAAGGCTCTTACACACATTCTTCTCCACATGTATCACATCTAGAGTATGTCTCACATCAAGACTTTACCAATATGGAAGATCAAAAAAGAAAGATCTTTTTTTTCCATATATTCCTCTCACTGGCAGTCTTCTTCTTTTTACTAAAGACCACATTAATTCCCTTTACCCGTTAATAAACTTCTTCTCTAGTTAATGGTATTAAAGCCATTTGATATTCTTGTGAGCTGTTAAATGCCTTCTTCAACCTAAGGTAAGGGTGGTGCCGACTAAGAAACTGTGACCAAGATAGACCGTCTTCCTTCCATGTTTAGGTTGCATGTAGTGGATGCCTTCTTCGCTTATCGAACATGTTTTATGCCCCTTAACACTATATCTTGACAAATTTCCATATGCCAAAAAATCATTTATCATGGTGAAAATCATGGCCCATAAATTGAAGGTCTCTTGTTTATATGCATCAAACACATCAACACCTTCCTCCCATAATTTCTTCAGATCCTCAATCAAAGGTCTGACTGTTTTGGCCTCGATATCATCAAAGATAGCATGATATACTTTCTTTTCATACATAACCAAGAAGGCAAGTTGTAAATTACGAAAAGCACCGGCCAAGCACTATGTATACTATTAAGATTACCATATGGATTAATTCCGTTCATACAAAGCCCTAGCCAAAGGTTTCTTGGCTTACTACCGAATTAAGGAAATTTTTTATCTATTGTTTTTCATTGAGGAGAATCTGCTGGGTGACGAAACTTTCTATCGCATATTTTCTCATCGAAATGTGATCTCAAGTTCTTTGCTTCTGTAGCATTAGCAAATAGATGCTTAAATCGTGGTATTATTGGAAGATACCACATAACCTTCAAAGGAGAACCTTTGGTCATCTCATTATAATCACCATCATCTTTCTCAACTTTGTATCCTGAAGTCCCACATTTAGGGCACTTATTCAACCCTTTATACTCATTTCTGAATAATATATAGTCATTAGGGCATGCATGTATCTTCTCATATTCTAAACCCATCGGATACAAAATTTTCTTTCCTCATACATTCGTTTTGGAAGTGAATTCCACTTTGGAAGAATATCACTTAGGAGTTCAAGCAATTCTGTGAAACTAGCATCAGTCCAACCATTTTTTGCCTTCAAATTCATCAATTTCAACACAGTTGTCAACCTTGTGTAATTATCTTTACACCCTGGGTATAAAGGCTTCCTTTAATCCCTATGCCATCTTTTAATCCTTCATAGCAAATCATATGGTATTTTGGGCAGCATGGTACCATGGGGGTTTTTAGCCATTTTTCTCGATCCAGATCAATTCCAAAACAACCACTAATCAAAGTAATTAAATCCTTAATGAAAGCCTTAGCTTACCTTAGATGATTACTTAAAGTTAGCTTGATTTCCTCCTCCTTTTTCTCTTCCTTTCTCTTTAACTCAAGTAGCAAAACCTTCCCTCCCCTCTTTTTCCAATTTTGGCTAAATTTCACACTTATAGGGGGAGGGTATTTCTAGACAAATTTTTGGCCTAAGGTTTCCTAATTTGCTCTTGGTGAAATGTTATAATTCCCTTATGTAACATCCTAGATTTTGGGCCCAGAAGTACCAGAATTAGCCTAAAATGGGCAGCCTACCATACCTCTTTTTGCAGGAATTTTAGAAGTTTCCTAAAAGGACGAGAAGATCCCCAGGGACTAAATTGCAAAGTAAGGATTTTCTAAAATCACGAGATAAGAAAGTTAGGGACTCCAATGAACTCGAGGGCTCGAGTATGAGAATTAGAAATAGTTAAGGGCCAAAAGTTATCAGCGAGACGGTTTTTGGGGCTAAACCCGAGTAGGGACCTAACCATAAATTTAAGGAGTTTTGGGTTGGAAAGGATAGTGATGGAAATTATGCCCCCAAATTCTAGAAAAATTCTAAAAAATTCCAAAAAAATACGAGACGAGAGGATTTCTAGGGACTAAATCACAAAGAGTTTTCTAGGGACTAAATCACAAAGAGTTTTCTAAAACTACGAGACAAGCAAGTTAGAGATTCTGATGAAGTCTTGAGGATTTGAATATGGGAATTGAAGGTGATTAAGGGCCAAAGGTCATGCTGGGAACCTCAGCGAGATAATTCTTAAGGCTAAATCCGAGCAGGGACCTAATTATAAATACAAAAATTTATAGGCCAAAAGGGGTAGTTGTCACACCTTACTATCGGATCCATTTAGGGTTTAATCACAACCATTTTAGACCACATTGGATGGTCTTGGGCTCAAAATTTCATGAAAAATGCTAATTTTCAGATTTTTATTGTTCATGAGGTAAAAATCCAGTTTTCTGGCCCAACTTCAAAAATTCATAACTTAATCTAGAAAAATCAAAATGGAGTGGTTCAAAATTCTATTTAAAGCCCTTTAAGTCCTATTTCAAGGAAAAATAAGCTTATGAACCAATCCCATTTGAAAAAGCATCAGGTTTTTGTGAAATTCACCTCTGTCCATTTGGCAAAAATCCTTTTTCCAGATTCTGAACCTTAACTTTGAAAAATCATTAAAAATCATGTAGTTGTCCATTTTTAATGTGCTGCCTTTCAATTTGAAGCTCAGGACGTGAAATTTAAGTATACCAAATTTTGTGCAGGAATTCATTCCGTAACTAAATAAAACATGGCTCTAAACTAACATCCTGCTTAGGGATTACAGCACCAACCATAGATACTTATACATAACCAGATGTCCACAAAAATTTATGGTATGACACCATAATTTAGCCTCCAATCTGCAG